CTTGGTGTGCTGTACTGTTAAAAAAGTTGGAGAGTACTGGCATCAAATGTCCAAATGAAGAAACTGGGTAGGCAATTTGGGCTCAGCGGGAGTCAGGACAAAAAACAAAGACTTGGGAGTTGTTAGTATATTGAGGGTATTTGAAGTCGGAGGACTGCTGAGACCATGGTGAGAAAAGGAGGCAGCCCAGGACGGAGCCCTACGGCACCCACACGATGCCAGATCAAGTCTGGGCAGCGGGCAGGGAGACCCTAGCAAAGGAGAGGGAACACAGACTGGAGTCGAGTCTTAGTCATGCCATAACAGAATTCCACAGACTGGGGCTTCAACGGTAGACATTTATTTCCTCCGTTCTGGGGGCTGGAGTCCAGAAGCGAGGCGTCATCATGGTTGGCTCCTGGTGAGAGCTCTCTTCCTGGCTTCCAGGCTACTGTCTTCTTGCTGTGTGCTTGCATGGTCTTTCTTCTGTGCAGAGAGACCTCCGGTAGCTCTTCTTCTAAGGACACCACACCTAGAGGGTTAGAGCTCCACCTAATGGCAGGGCTTGACCTCATAATGACCTCATTCAATCTTCATGACCTCTTTCCTCCCTTTTCTTTCTTTCTTTTTTTTTTTTTCTTGAGTTGCCTCCATGCCCAAAGTGAGGTTTGAACTCAAAATCCTGAGATCAAAAGTCACATGATCTACAAACTGAGCCAGGCAGGTGCGCCCTCTTCATTACCTCTTTAAAGGCCCTATACCCAAATAAAGTCACATTGGGGATCAGGGCTTCAATGTATGAATTTGGAGGTGGGGGAGCCACAATTCAGTCCATAACAGAGTAAGCTACAGAATAAAGTGAGGGTAGATGATGTAGGGTGATGTGTGTACATTCCAGCTACTATGTATATAAGGTTTGGTGAGATTAATAAATGAGTTTAGTACCTGAACATGCTGAATACTTTGAAGATGGGTAAAGCCAGCTGAGATGCTTTTGTAGACTAGAGCCCAGAGTACTCTAGGGATTGGAGCAGGCGAGGGGGTTCTGAAAAAGTCAACAACCCCCTTCTCAGCAATGTGGCTCTAATGTTCGTCTTCACCCAGAACTCCTTTAGTTGTTCCCATCAAGAAGTGACATACTCATCATCCCATTGTCTGCTATGAAGAGCAAGCAGTGAAATGGCAGGTCCCTGCATGTGCCCTGTTATGAATCCAAAATTCATGTGTTAAAGTTCTAACCCTCAGTCTGTGACCTTATTTGGAAACAGGGTCTTTGCAGATGTAGTAAGTTAAAATGAGGTCATTAGGGTGGGCCCTAATCCAGTCTGACTGGTGTCCTTACAAAAAGGGGAAATGTGGACACACAGACTCACACTCAGGGAAAACATGAAGATGAAGGCAGAGATCGGGGTGATGTATTAACAAGCCAGAGGGCATTAGAGATGGCCAGGCAAACCACCAGAGCTGGGGGGAAGAGGCACAGAATGGATTTCCCCTTACACCCCTCAGAAGGAACCAACCCTACTGACATTTTGATCTTAGAATCTAGCCTGTGAGACAATACATTTCTGTTACACACCATCCAGCTTGTGGCACTTTGATATGGCAGCCTGGGAAACGAACACAGCCTCATTCAAGCTGAAACCACAAACATGGTATAAACAGATCTTGTCCACGTGGGAAGATCTATCCCTGCATTTCTCTGGGACCAAGCTGAAAGCAACCTGCTTGAAGAAACTTGTTACCTGTCTTGCACCAAGAATAGGAGGAAACCAGGATCAGGAGACAGGCAGGGGTATCCTCAGGTTTTTAAAGGAGGAAGATTGTACATGAGCCACTTCGGACTTTGGGAAGAGGTGTGCTGAGGGCAAGGAGCTTGCACTTGAGGGCAGAGGCCTGTGTTCTGGTCTCTAGGCTGCTCTGCTCTTGGCCTCAGTCCCTGCAATTATGAAATGGGCTGGTCCTCTGGATGCTGTTTTGAGGGACTTTCTTCTGCATGGTAGATGCTCAGTAAACGCTCAGTGTGAACAAGTGTTCACACTGAAGAAAACAACACTGTAGATTTACCCAGCATCTCTGGAACAGGGGACATGACCTCTTTTCCTTAAAGAAATAGGGGCATGATTTGACGAAGACAGCTGGTAAGAAAGAGCCAGGTCTCAAACTCAGTTTCCAGCTGTGTCCTGCTGCTCTTCCAGCAGTAACAACAGCTGCCCTTGTAGTGAGCACTTACTCTGTCTGTGTTATTTACGGGGCTAAGCATTTTACATTGCAGGATCTCAATCCTCATTTAAACCAGCAAAGGTAGGTATTATTATCCTTATTTCACAGAAGAGGAACCCAAAACTCCAAAGGGTTGAGCAACGTGCCCAAGATCACATAGCACAGTTGAGTGGCAGGGGTGGTATTTAATCCTGGTCTAAAGCCCATGCCCATTCCCTAAGCACTTCCACCACTTCTCAGCTCCTGTAAGATTGTCTTCACACTCTGATCATTAGCTCAACACTAGGAGCTAGTCTGAAGACACAAAGTAAGGCTTTTCCCCTGATCTCTAATCAAAGCAATACACGGTACCTGGAAAATCTGCAAACTACAAGAAAGTATAGTTCTTCAAAACACAGTAAACATAGGATTACCATATGATCCAACAGGTCCACTTTTGAGTATACACACCCTAAGCTTTCAAAGCAGGGACTTAAACAGGTATTTGTACATCCAAGTGCACAGCAGCATTCTACATAATAGTCAAAAGGTGGAAGCAACCCAAGTGTCCACCAATGGACGAATGGATAAACAAAATGTGATATATACGTATGATATGGAATACCATTGTTTTAAAAAGGAAATTCTGACACATGCTACAACATGGATGAAGCTTTGAGAACTTTATGCCAAGTAAAATAAGCAATCACAGAAGAACAAATTATTAGGATTCCCCTAGAACAGTCAAATTCATAGAGACGGAGAATAGAACGGTGGTTTCCAGGGTCTGGGGGTTGGCAGGGATTGGCGAGTTACTGTTTAATGGACAGAGTTTTAGTTTGGCAAGATGAGGAAGATCTGGGGATGGGTGGTGGTGATTGTTGCACAGCAAAGTGAATACACTTGATGCCACTCAACTGTATACTTAGAAATGATTAAAACTGTAAATGTCATATATATTTTACTACAAGAAAACATAAAGAAATGGAATGGGTGATGGGCGCTGAGGGGAACACTTGGCGGGATGAGCACTGGGTTTTATGCTATATGTTGGCAAATTGAACTCCAATAAAACTTTTTAAATAAAAAAATAAAAAAGAAATGGAAAAACTTATCTATGATGTCTGAGTGAAACTCCATTGATATGTTGGTACTGTGCCTTCTGAGTCTATTTTCTAATTTTAGCTTTGTAAGAGGTCTTTTCGTTTTTTTTTTTTTTTTTTTTTTTACAGCTTCCTGTCTTGTACATTATAGGAAGAGGTTTTTACATGGTTGTGGGACCCAAAGGGGTCATGTTAAGTTACCCTATCAGATGTGAATCCCGGATATGCACGTCTATCAATATCCATGTTGGGGTGTGGTAGCAGAGTCTCAGGGAGGCTGGAACCCACAGGACACAGTCATGGGGACTCTGTGGCCCCTTACCTTAACCTGACTCCATTTCCTGCGGCTGAAGGATCATTGAGAAGAGGTTATCACACTTCTGCTTAAACCTCTGGGCAGCAGCCACCTCCCCAGGAAGCCGCAGCTCCTTCTGTTTTTAGAATCCCAGGTATCCAACTCACTTTCTTCACTTTACAGAAGAGAAACAAGTTAAACTATGAACCTCCTTCTCTTATGGCTGGTGTCTTCTTTAATGAAGGATGTTCTTTCCAAATGGTCTTTACAATGAGTGGCCACATACCGGCAGTCACTGGTATGATAAACCTGCCTGGGGACTGAATTTTATTTGGCACAGGTTTTGTTAAAAATCAGGGTAGATCTCCTGCCCTACGACCCAGCAACTGCACTGCTGGGGATTTACCCCAAAGATACAGATGCAGTGAAACGCCGGGACACCTGCACCCCGATGTCTATAGCAGCAATGTCCACAATAGCCAAACTGTGGAAGGAGCCTCGGTGCCCATCGACAGATGATGGATAAAGAAGCTGTGGTCTATGCACAGCTTGTGTACAATGGAATATTCCTCAGCCATTAGAAATGACAAACACCCACCATTTGCTTCCACGTGGATGGACCTGGAGGGTACTATGCTGAGTGAAGTAAGTCAATCGGAGAAGGACAAACATTATATGGTCTCATTCATGTGGGGAATATAAAAAATAGTGAAAGGGAATAAGGGAAAGGAGAGAAAATGAGTGGGAAATCTCAGAGAGGGAGACAGAACATGAAGACTCCTAACTCTGGGAAACGAACTAGGGGTGGTGGAAGGGGAGGTGGGTGGGGGTGACTGGGTGACAGGCACTGAGGGGGGCACTTGACGGGATGAGCACTGGGTGTTATGCTGTATGTTGGCAAATTGCACTCCAATTAAAAAAAAAAAATCAGGGTAGATCTCGTAAAACTCCAGAACTCCGGTTCTCTGGAAATGCAAAGATCCGAGCGCACTGGGGCAGAGTCCACGGGGCCGCACGTGGCTGCAGCAGCAGGGTGCACGCTCTCCGGCTGACCACAGCCCCTCCGCTCCGTTCCCTTCCAGTAGGTAGGCCCTAGGCCCTGCCTTGTAATCCTCATTTCCACCCCCCGGACCCGAAGCATTTAAGCCTCATCCCTCCTGGGGAGGAACTTTCAGGTCGAGCAAGGCGCTAAGGAGCGGCGGCTGGGAGCAGGGCTTCGGAGCGGACCGCGCCCCTGACGGTGCTGGGGGCCCTGCGCGCACCTGCGCCGCCCCGGCGACCCGCCCCGGGTCCCGGCCCGCCCAGACCAGCAGCGGCCCCGCGCTCCTCTCCCCGCCGGCTCACGCTCCGGCCAGCGCCGCACACCTGCGCGTCCGCGGGCCTCGGCGTCCCCGTCGGCCACCACGGGCGGCGACACCTACCTCGCCGGGCCGCGGAGGCGGGCGCCCCGTCGGGGGCAGCGTCTCGCGGTGCAACCAGCCTGCGGGGCAGCGGCGGGCAGCGGCGGGCAGCGGCGGGAGCTGCGAGCCGGGTGGGTGGGCCCTCACCACGTGGCCTCGGCTGCCATGGAGACGGCCCGCGCGTGGCCGCCCCGCACCGGCACCACCGCCCCGGGTCCCGGAGCCGAGGGAGCGCGCGCATGCGCACCGACAATCCAGGCCCGGGGGGCGGGGGGGCGGGGGGGCGGGCCCAGATGGGTCGAACCACTGAGGGGTCGGGGGGAGCGTCGGAGGGCGTGAGGCAGGACGGAGACGGGGGGAAGAAAGTGCCCCAACAGGACCCCCGAACTGACTTGACTCCTAGGGACCACGGGCCGTGGAATCCATCAGGGCCCCTGGGGGTGGGGCCGACTCGGCGCCGAGGTGGTCCGTCGTCTCTCACTCCCCCCCGCGCTTGTGTGGGCGGGTCCGGAAGGGCGGGCTTGCTGGGCCTGCGCAGGCGCAGGGAGGTCGGCAAGATGGCGTCCAGGCCCAAGCGGCGCGCGGTGGGCAGCGGGGCCCCGCAGCCCCCGGGCGGCCCGGCCGTGCGCGCCGAGGACGAAGAGGAAGGCGGAGTGGAAGATGAGGACGAAGACGAGGAAGACAGCGACGAAGACGAGGATGAAGACGACGAGAGAGTCGACGAGGTGACAAGCACACGTGCGACCCCGGTTTGGTCGGGCGGGGCGGGGCGGGGCGGGGCGGGGCACTTTCTGGCCGCCGGAGCCGTAGGCAGGGGCCCGCCGCTTATTCTCCGCCCGCCTGCGGGGCCCGCTTTCCGTTTCTCAGGACTTCTTTTTAAAGATTTTTATTTATTTATTCATGAGAGACACACACAGAGAGAGAGAGAGAGGCAGAGACACAGGCAGCGGGAGCAGCAGGCCTCACGCAGGGAGCCCGACGCAGGATTCGATCCCAGGACCCCGGGGTCACGCCCTGGGCCGAAGGCGGCGCTGAACCGCCGGGGCCCCCCGGGCCGCCCTCCAGGCCTTGTGTTCCGACGCCGTTCTCCACCCTGCGGCGCCCCCCGGTCCTCGCTGAGACCTCAGTGACCTCAGTGAAGCTGCATCTTCTGCCTCCGAGGCACCTGACCCCGCCCCACCCACCGAGTCCAGGTGCTGGGTTCGCCGTAGAACCGGGTTCCTTTATTTGCCCAGACTGTCCTCTACCGAACCGCCTGGCATTGTAGGTACTTAACTTAATATTTGTTGAATGAATCAGTAGGACTGAACGGGCCTTAAGAGCACTGAGTGCCCACTGGGTACGTAAACCCTACTGCGTCCAAAGCGGAACTGGTAATTCGCGGTTCACGTTCTCAGTTCTCATCTTTGCCGTTTCTCTAAATGCCGCCCCCCCCCCCGGTATTGGCAACTTACTCAAGCCCCAAACCTGGTGATTAACTTTGATTCCTCCTTTGTCATGCCACATCCAGTCTTGCGATAAATCCTGCTAGTTTTTTTTTTTTTAAAGATTTTATTTATTCATGAGAGACAGAGAGGCAGAGACACAGGCAGAGGGAGAAGCAGGCTCCATGCAGGGAGCCGGATGCGGGACTGGATCCCAGGACCCCAGGATCAACCGCCCTGGGCCGAAGGCAGGTGCTAAACCGTTGACCCACCCGGGGATCCCAAATCCTGCTAGTTTTATCTTCATACCCAGACGGTTTCGTTATTGATTCTCCAACAGCCTTAGTCCACAAGTCCATGCTTCCATCATCGCCTGCTTGGCTCCCCGGGTAACTTCAGTGACTTGCTGTTTCTCCATTCTTGTACCATCACTACACCCGCAGCCAGAGAGATCTTTTTATTTTTTTATACAATACTAAGCATGCTCAGTACCATACTTTGAAGTTTACTTATTTATATTTTAGTGAACTCTTAAGGCCAAGGTGGGGCTCAAACTCACAATCAGGAGTCACACAGGCTCTTCCTACTGAGCCAGCCAGACACTCCCCCCCAGATATATATATATATATATTTTTTTTTTTTTTTAAGATTTTTTTATTTATTCATGAAAGACAGAGTGAGAGGCAGAGGCAGAGGGAGAAGCAGGCTCCCTGCAGGGAGCCCGACGTGGGACTTGATCCCAGGACCCCAGGATCACACCCTGGGCCAAAGGCAGCGATAAACTGCTCAGCCACCCAGGCTGCCCAAGAGAGATCTTTTTTAAATGTAGGTGTGTTCTCTCTTCCCTGTTCAGAACATTCCACCAGCTTTCCATTTCATTTATAGGAAAATCCAAAGACCTCCTGGTTGATGGACTGGAAGGTAGCTAGTGTGGCCACAACAGAATAAGCAAGGGAGAGTAATGGGATATCAAGTCAGAGATGAACATGAGTCAGGATTAGGGCTGAGACTGGCTTGGGTGCATGATAAATCTTCCAGGGAACAGAGACGATTTCCCTTAGAAATCAGCTCTTTGGCCCCTTGCCTTGGATGTGGTCTCACCTTTTTTCACCTAGAACTTTATTGGCTATTTTGCTAAGCACAGCAATCAGTGCTTCTTGAACTGACATGGATAGTCTGTTGCACTCCAGTGATTAAAAATTAGTGTGATGATCCTCATTGACTATAGTGTAAGAAAACATGCACTTGTATATATTGTTGGTGGGAGTATAATTTATTGCAGTGTCTTTGGAGGACAATTTGACAGTATCAGAATCTAAAATGTATACATCCTTTGATAGAGTAATTGGACTGCAAAGAATTTATTCTTTAGTCATTGTAATAATACATGCTGTTCCAGGGTCTGTGCACTTTATTAACTCATTTAGTATTTACATCAACCATGTAAAGTTAGGAGGCGGCACCATTTAAGACAGAGGATACACAACAAGTTTAAATGAAGACAGTGTGTGTGGTGCAGCAGATATAGGGGAAGGAAGAAACAGGAAATAACTGGGATTGTGTGTCAGAAACCTCTTGAAAGATTAACTTAACTATTGTTAGTGACCTCTGAGGAGTAGGAGTTGGGGGGTGGGTAGTAAGACTTTCAACTGGAATCTCTGTGCTCTTTGTCGTATTTACCACTGAAATATATTACTTTATTGATTGAAGAAATTGTTAAGGCTTTCACGGCAGTTTCCTACACTTGGTGGATCTTGATTCCTGTATTTATTGGAAAGAGGCTTTTAGTTTTTGTGGTGTTCACTCATCCACATCCATTTGTCATTATTGTGATGAATAAATCCTTGACCATTGTTTTGGACATGAAGAATCTACCTCAGACCTGCTCTGCATATAGAGAAGGAAGGAAATGCGCATGTGTGTATGTGAAGCCTGATTTAAAAAACAGGGTGACTGGCTTTGAGGCAGCTGGCAGAGTGGTGATAGAATGTGGCTAGAACTTACATAAGCAGGTCAGGGTACTGAAAGGATGAGACGAAAAGCACTAGGCATGCTTAGTTAAGTTCTTGCGGCCATGTGGCTGGGACGCGTGCTTGTGTTTGACACAGACCCTTGGAGTGTAGCTGCAGAGGAAGGGGAGTGGGTGGTGAGGGTGCCGGGGTATCTTAGACCTCCAAGGGCAGGAAGTAGTGGGGCCTCAGGGACCGGCTGGGTCACTGAGCCTGGAATGCTGTGGAAAACCAGAGGAGTCTTTCACATTTTCCTTCTCTCCTTTCCTGCTCTTTGTTACATTCAAAATATTTGGTTATTTTTCTGTTTCTACTCCTTATAACAGAGAATAGAAAATACCAACGGCTTCCGAGATTTGTCAGTCAAAAGAGCAAGCAGGTGAGATGCCACATCTAGTTTTAGTTCTGAAGTCTGTCACTTGGGAGTGTCAGGGCTCTGTTTCACAAAGGTGGCTGTTTCCCCTGAAACCACGTGGATGGGGAGTGATTCTCAGGGCAAGGGGTGCTGGGCAGATGGTCCATTTGGTATCTGCTGCGGTGCTGGTGCCATCATAGCCTGGGGCAGAGGTCGGAGACATCTGTCCAGACAAGGAAAAAAACCCTAAAAGCATCCTTTAAAGAATTTGTTTCTTTTTTAAGGAATGCACTGAATACCTGAATTGTGACAATTTGTTACATGGTTTAGTTTGACCCTGTTTGGAACACGTCCTCACCCCCTACCCACCCTGGCTGTGTCACAATCTGACTGAGCCTCCTTCTAGGAGTCAGGATTTGAACTTGATAAACTGGCCTCAATACTCACCCCCTGGCGAATGTAACAGCCCAGGGCACACTTAAATGTATGCACAGTCAGGATGACCGGGCACAAGTAGCTGTGACTGACCTCTCTGGCCTTCAGCGAAGACCCAAATTCCAGAATCTGCTATACTTGGAACTATGTGTGAACATACTATTTTAGCAGAGCCCCAAAATAAATGTGTCACTTACCAAGGTATGATTTAGGACTGATCTTGTGGAGGCTTATAAGCCTCTAAGGTTTTGCTTTTGGTGTGAAGCAATCCTTTCATTGATTTATGGGACACAAGTAGCATTACAGGATTAGGTTCTGTTTTCATTGTTTTGCTTCATATAGTCTCATGTACTTAACATAGTTTGTTGGCCTCTGGGCCATAGTATGTGCTGTTCTCGGGGCCAGGAACTCTTTAATTTTTTTTTTTTTTAAGATTTTATTTGAGAGAGAGCATGAGTGGGGTGAGGAACAGAGGGAGAAGCAGACTGCCTGCTGAGCAGGGAGCCCAGTGTGGGCCTCAATCCCAGGACTCTGGGACCATGACCTGAGCTGAAGGCAGATGCTCAACCAGCTGAGCCACCCAGGTGCCAGAGTGCCAAGAAGTCCCTCCCAGCTTGTGTCACTTCCCTAAGGGAAGACTTTCCTGACTTTTTTTTTTTTTTTTTTTTGGAGTTCAATTTGCCAACATATAGAATAATACCCAGTGCTCATCGCATCAAGTACCCCCCTCAGTGCCCATCACCCAGTCACCCCCACCCCCCGCCCACCTCCCCTTCCACCACCCCTTGTTCGTTTCCCAGAGTTAGGAGTCTCTCATGTTCTGTCTCCCTTTATGATATTTCCCACTCATTTTTTCTCCTTTCCCTTTCATTCCCTTTCACTATTTTTTATATTCCCCAAATGAATGAGACCATATAATGTTTGTCCTTCTCCGATTGACTTATTTCACTCAGCATGATACCCTCTTTCCTGATTTTCTTACCTATTTTTCACGTTGTTACAGCACCGTGTACCTGTGTTTTATAGCGCATATAGTTGCAACTTTATATTTATCTCCATGAATATTTCCTTAAAGCCTATGTTCTCCCCTAAATTGTAACCTCCACGAGGGCAGAATCATTCATGTCTGCTTTGCTTACCTTTTCGTCACGAGTGCCTGGCACAGTGCTAATGTACATGGTGGTCAGTATTTGTCAGGTGAATGAACTGTAGCCTCAGATGCATGGGCTGAATCAAGGGCATCAAGCGGTAGGCAGTGCTGGGGACTTGTGAAGTGATTCTGCGCTTTGCTTACCCTTATTGTAGTCAGGTAAATAATTTCTTCTTTGTGGCTGCTGTGACTGTTTTTTCTGGAGCAGACTTCCTCTACATTGAAACTAGATCAGTCTGAGTTTTTTTGTTCCCAGGCTTATGTGTCCGATGAGATGGCGTGAAGGTGCTTTGTAACCTGTGCAGATGGCAATCTTGGCAATATTTTTGCCTATTTGAAACCTAGACAGTTCTTCAGATAACATTTTCTTTGTGTCCTTTCTCCTGGCACGTTCTATAGATAGAGACAGATCCAAAAACAATAGAGGCAGAAGGAAAAGAAAAAGCTGTAAAGTATAAAATACTGCCTGAATTATCTTAGGGAGTTATGTGTGATGACCTATTTTGTGTGTTATTTACAGGAAGTGAATGTTGAATTTGAAGCTTATTCCATCTCCGACAAGGATCATGACGGAATTAAGAAGTTATTGCAACAGGTATGGTCATTTACCCTCTACACACAGATTTGCTCTTCTAAGAAAATCCAGGCCATTCAACACAAGCTAGGTCAAATTTCATCCTTTATTTTAGAATTCCTATTCCTGTCCTCTCTACCCTGCAGAGTAGGAAGGATTGTTTCTCTTTTCCAAGGGCTTTTCTTTTCCTCCTGCGATTGCTCTTCTGAGTTGTCTTCCATCATTGATACTTCATTATTTGAGTATGGATGTTAGAAGTTTTGTTAAAAATTGCCTTTTGATTTTCATTTAAAGTACTTTTTTTTTTTTATCCTTAGCTTTTCCTAAAGGCTCCTGTAAACACTGCAGAATTAACTGATCTCTTAATTCAACAAAACCATATTGGGAGTGTGATAAAGGTAAGCGGGAGTTATGTTTGTTCTGATTAAATTAGTTCTTTGTTGTGTTAAGATCCTCCCAAGGTTTAGCGGACAGGCCAGGAGCTCAAACTGGAAAGAGATGTTACCGGAGGAAGGGAGACTGTTACAAAGTTATTCCAGTAATTTCCAAGATTCCTGAATGCTGGATTCCCGGGAGTGCCAATGGATAGTGAGAAAAAGGGGTGATTCAGAAGATATTTAGGAGACGAGAGATAATGGAGCTTAGCGAGTGATGGGGCTGAGTTGAGGGGTCAAGGGTGGCTCCCAAGTGTCTGCCTCCAGTGACCAAGATTGCAAACATGGAAGAAGAGGCCAGGAGGGAACCTGAGTTCGGGTATACACGTGTTGAGTTTGATTTGCCTGTGATACACATGAGGGAGGTGTGAGCAGTGGCTGGAGACCTGGGTGTCCTCAGCAGATGGACGGTTGCCCAGGGAGGGTGGGACAGACACTGCTAATACCAATTACTTGGAGGAGTCAGTGGCAGAGTCTGCAAAGGAGCTGTGGTGGGGGCCACAGTGGGGGGTGGGGGTGACCTGGAAGGGAGGGCGTGAAGCACTGGAGGGAGCTTTTGGAGGAGGCACAGCAGGAGGGGTGAGGCCTGCCTCTGCCTCCCCGTGGTGGTTTTGGGTTTTCTGTGGCTGCCATACATACTGCCTGCAGTTTACTGTCACAGTAGCAATGGTCATTTTTTTGCCTCATTTGGACAGAGCTCAGTGAGAACAACTCCTGTCTGCTCTGTGTCTCATGAGCCAGTGGGAGGCCAGAGGATTCACTTTCAAGATGGCTCACTCACATGATCAGCAAGGTCATGCCGGCTGTCCAGAGGGAGCCCAGCTGGGATTATGGGTCAGGGGCCTCAGTTTCTTCGTGGCATGGGCCCCTCTATGAAGCAGCTGGGTTCCAGGAGCAAGCAGCCCAAAAGAACCAGGCACAAGTGCACAGCATTGTATTTCCTCTGTCCTATTAATCAGACGTGAGGGTCTGTAGAGGTTCAAGGGGAGGGTGCATGGACCTCAGCATTCAGTGGGAGTAGGGGCTAGGTTACATTGTCAGAAGAGAATGTAGGACTGGACTGTGGCGGCCATCTGTGGAGAATAGAATCTAGCACCGTGACCTTGGTCTGTTTCCACTTCCATCTCTGAAAATGAGGATGGTCCCAGTCCCTACTTCGTCTGGCATTGCAGAAGCAGCGGGAGTTGCTGAGCACTTGGTGCTTAGAGCAGCAGCACATGGCTGGTGCTGTAGTCTCAGTGCCCACAGTTGGTGTCTTTTCCCGTTCCCAGAACGTGCCATTGGGGTCATGGTACAGAAGCAGCACCACTTCGGTCTACTACACCCACTCACCACCTCACCTTTAGCCATCTCCCATTGTGGTCAAAGCCGAAGGTCTTCAACAAGCTGGCATTCACAGCCCCTATCTCCTCTCCTAAACAACTCTACCGCTTTTACAACCAGTACTCCACTGAGGTTCTGGAACTATCGGGTAGGCTCACCAGCGTCTTGTTGCTAAACCTCATGGCACTAAAGTGAAGAAAGTGAAAGCAGTAGTACCTCCAGTAGTTTCCTTCTAGAGCAGTGGGAAAGGCAGACCTCTCACCAGACACCTGTTCCCTCCAGCTGATCAGTGTCTGTAGGAGTGTTGTCAACACTCACTCCATCTTCGGCCCTCCGTCTTGTTGGTGCTTGTGCCGTGACCTTGGAGAAGGCTTGTTTTGATCATCCAGAAAGGGGTGCACAGAAGGCCACACAGAAGGCTGCGCTTTAGGTAACTACCCTGTGACCTCCCCACCATGCCCCTAGCTTGTCGAAGCTGTGGGTGAGGTCCAAGCTTTGTGGAGAAAAGCTGCATGGCGCCAGAATCGTTGGTCCACCCAGTCTCTCTGTCAGTAAGATCGCCTCAATAAGACTGCGAATGGTGGAGTGGCTTGCTTCAGTGTCTGTCTTAGGTGGCTTCTCCATGTAGAAGATCCATTGCTGACCCTCCTCTACCTTCTAACCATGTCCTAAGACTGTCCAACAAGACTGTCCTATTCTTGAAAGAGCTTAGGTCAGTGGAGGATTCAGCCTTCAACGGGATGGTTCTACGGGTAACTTCACAGTGACAGTTACAGCTTTTGGCTTCCGCAGAGGTCCTCAGGGTGTCCCAGTGACAGAGACTTCTGTCCCTAGGAGAGGGACTGCCCAGAACTTTCACCAGAGTCTCTGGGACTGGGGGGATTTGGATTCCTGTAGAGAAGGCAGTCCCAAGGGCTGTGGAGGGGAAAGGGCGAGGGCCTGCAGGGCATGCCCTGCTTGTGTGGCTAGTGCAGGGGTGAGGGGTTAGGTGGAGTTGCTCAGGACGAAGGCCCTAGGAATTGTGTCGAAGAAGGAGGCTTGAGGCAGTGAACGGGTCAGGTGGGTGGGGCTTTTGCTGGGGGGGTGCGGTAAGCAGGTGGTCATGGATGAGACTGATGGGATTGTGACCACGGCCCCTGTGGAGAGGCAGCCCCCATGTGGTGTTGCTTTGATGGCTGATGACCATCAAGGAGGAACACTGAGTGTGCTCCAGGGGATGCTAACTGTTTGTGAGCCCAGTGACCATTTGGGGGATTCCCCCCCCCTTTTTTTTAAAGTAAGCTCTGTGCCCCACTGAACTCACAACCTTGAGAGCAAGAGTCACATGTTGCTGTGACTGAGCCCACCCGGTGCCCCAATTTTGGGGATTGCTTCGAATTCGACACTGAGGGTTCCTTTTCCTACCCCTGGCCCTCTGTTGGTACTGCATGTGTTTTGCCACCGTAGGTGGGAGACCTGTGAGCTGCAGGACATCTGTCCCAGGTTGGTCTTGAGGGACCAGGGCTGGTGGACTAATTCTGTTGCCTGAGTAGATGTGCCCTGGTTCTCTCATGGCTGGTGTTCGTGTTCTGAGTTACCTGCCTGTTCTCTCTCCGTGTATCCTCTGGATTCGTAGAGCTTGAAACATCTCTCATTTTGGCACATGGTTTTATTCCCTAGGCCATGCTGCCCACCCTAGTTCTACAGGTGAAACTGCTTCAGCACAAATGCTGCTTTTTTTTTTTCCCCCAAAGATTTTATTTATTTATTCTTGAGAGACAGAGAGAGAGAGAGAGGCAGGCTCCATGCAGGGAGCCTGATGTGGGACTCGATTCCAGGTCTCCAGGATCAGGCCCTGGGCTGAAGGCAGCGCTAAACCACTGAGCCACCCGGGCTGCCCCCAGATGTTGCTTTTAAAGCCTGGTAGTGCCTTTGCCTGAGTCTCCCTGTCAGTAGCAGGAGATCCAGGACTACTTCCTCAGGCCCCTTGAGTCACTGGTCTGATGCCCTGTCCCCACAGAGGCAGGTTTCGTGGCCCTGTTCTCGCCCTGCGGCCCCTGGGAGCACCCCTGCTCCACTGGCCCTACCTTAGTGAGCCTGGGTGCTGCTGCAGGAGGCAGAGCTGTGAGTCCCTTCCCACAGAAGAGCGTCAGGGAGACACATGGGACAGTCGTGGGTCCCTGCTGGCGTCCTGTAGATAAAGCAGCAGCCTCATTGCATTTCCTTCCTTCAGCACATGGTCCCCAAGGACATTGTCTTTGCCAGACATCACGCTAGGGGCCGGGGATGCAGTGAGTGTGCCGCCTGAACACGTGCACCAGCACCACTGCACCAGCAGCACATGGACAGGTGGAGGGTGAGGCCCCGGGGGAGGGCTTGTCTGTAGAGTCTGGAAGTTCAGGTCGGAGTTAAGCATTTCATTCTTAGGTCTCTTTCCTTTCTTGCCCTCTTTTCTCTTCACGTGGTAGGAGTGAGTGGCGCCCACGCGTTGTTCGCTCTCACCCGTGCTGGGGCTGGGCCTGTGCTCTGGAGGCCTGTGACTGCAGGGGATCCACGGAGGGACGAGCAAGGGCTGGCTGCAGCCAGGTGTCTTTGAAGACAGACTGAAGTGGTTGATTTCAGGAAGTTTTATCTGTTCTGGTGACATAACTGCGAATCTAGTATAAAGAATTTTGGAGCAGGAAGGGGTCATCTGCAATGTAAAAGGGGGGAGCAGAAGCAAGGGAGGTGAGCTGATCAGGGCAAGGCCCACGGTCCTCAGCCTGTGACACTTCCCTGCCGTGATGGTGGCCAAGGATGGTGTTTGAAAACCGAAGCGTGACTTGGTATTCTGCTTCTCCGAACCAAATGTACAACTTTAATTCTTTTTCTTTTTAAAATAGCAGACGGATGTTTCAGAAGACAGCGATGATGATGTGGATGAAGAGGAGATTTTTGGGTTCATAAGTCTTTTAAATTTAACTGAAAGAAAGGTTGGTTTCACTGGGTGGCATCAGACTGTTCCTTAGACCCAAATCACTTTAATGTATGATGACTGTTTGTTTTTTTTTTTTAAAGATTTTATTTATTTATTCATGATAGTCACACAGAGAGAGAGAGCGAGAGGCAGAGACATAGGCAGAGGGAGAAGCAGGCTCCATGCACTGGGAGCCCGACATGGGATTCGATCCCGGGTCTCCAGGATCGTGCCCTGGGCCAAAGGCAGGCGCCAAACCGCTGCGCCACCCAGGGATCCCATGATGACTGTTTTTATATCAGCAATGGAATTAACAATAAGGATATGTGCTCTTGTGAAATCTCACTATAATCTTGTTTTTTGGTTTTTTTTTTTTTTAAAGATTTTATTTATTAGAGCAGAGAGGGAGAAGCAGACTCTGCTGAGCAGGGAGCCTGCTGTGGGGCTTGATCCCAGGACCCACCCTAAGGTCATGACCTGAGCCCCCTAGGTGCCCCACTGTAATTTTTTTCAAATGTGAGAGTGTTTTTGTGCTGAATCTCAACCATGAAAGTCATGGCTCCTCGTGGTGTAGAGAACCATTCAGAACTGGGGTCCTGGTGTTGGTATTGATACCAGAGCTGGTGGTGCTGCTGTCTGTGGCTCTTCCTTTGTGAGGCTTTGTTGCTTCCTGCAGCAGAGGGCACGTACTGACCTTCACTTGTGCTTCCATTCGTCTCTTTATTGATTCGTTGAGTTCTAAGAAAAGGGAGAACAAGCTGTTTACTCTCCTCAGAGTAAGGTGCAGGTCACCATTTATCTTCAGGTTTTATTTATTTATTTATTTTAAGATTTTATTTACTTATTCATGGGAGACACAGAGAGAGAGAGGCAGAGACACAGGCAGAGGGGGAAGCAGGCTCCATGCAGGGAGCCCACCCAATGTGGGACTTGATCCTGGGACTCCAGGGTCACGCCCTGGGCCGAAGGTGGCGCTAAACCGCTGAGCCACCCGGGCTTCCCCCTCATCTTTAGGTTTTACATGAACTTTCCAGTTACGTCCATCTGTCTCTACGAAGTGGACTGGAATGGCTGTTCCAGTGTGTGAGTGTAGGTGTAACGCGCTGTCACCACTGCTCATAGGACCATAAATAGCTAGGTGTAGTTAATTTTGAGAAATGCTTAAGCACTGAACACTGAGGACAGGTGGGGTTATAAAGGCAATGCCAGGAGACTGCCCTAACTGTAAGATAGAAAGTGCTAGAGAGCTCTCACTCTCTTTTCTGCTCCAGGTGCGGCCTGTACTGAATGGCAAGCTTTGTCTTTGCTTCCTAGGGAACCCAGTGTGCTGAACAAATTAAAGAGCTGATCCTGAGCTCCTGTGAGAAGAACTGTGGAAAGAGTTTGGTGGAACAGCTGGATACACTTTTAAACGACAACTCCAAGCCTGTGGGCTTTCTCCTCAGCGAGAGGTTCATTAACGTCCCTCCTCAGATTGCGCTGCCCATGCACCAGCAGCTCCAGTAAGAGACTGGGCCACATACCTCTGAACAGAGGTTGTTCCCAGGTGGACTTGGCAGAGGGATTTCAGTAGTGGGAAGCGCCCCGCCCGCCCTTTTGGCAGCCCTGTGCCTCGGAGGACACCTCCTCCTGCCAGAGGCCTGTCCCTGCGTAGCAGCAGGCTTCCTAATGTCTTGTGACCATAGTCTCAACAGTCTTAGAAGATGTACAGGGTATAAATACAGATGAGTTTATATAGACTTTTTACCCCCTACTGGACTAAAGTTCTCGTCTTCCCAGATTTCTGTAACGTGGATAAAATGCTGAACAGTTACTCTGATAACAAAAACTGGGTACAATTCCTAAATTCCACTGGGATGTTTTTTAACTAAGGAAGCTGCAGTCCTGATACTGTGTCTCTGGCTTCTTGAGGTTTGCTGTTTTTAATTTTTTTTTTGTTTTGTTTTGTGGGTTTTTTTCCCCCCCTATTTTAGAGAAGGAGAAAGCACGAGTGGAAGGGCAGAGGGGAAGAGAGAGAGAGAGAACCTCACAAGCAGATTCCCCACTGAACATGGAGTCCCAACGGGGGGGTTTGATCTCACTGCCCTGAGATCATGACCTGAGCTGAAACCAGGAGTTGGAAGCTCAACCGACTATGCCACCCAGTACTTTCTTAATGCAGGGACTTTAGGTTTACATTTAATTGTCAAGAGCTAAGAATTGGGATTGTTGTGCTTTGAGGTAGAGTGGGATGGAAATACAGACTGGCCCCTGTGCCGCATGCACAGGCCCTGTTGCTCCAGGTCATGGTGCTCATGCTTGCCTGGTAGTAGTTGGTGGGGATGTAAGGACAGGCTGAGCCTTCGGGTTTCCCACTTAACCAGTTCATTCTTGATCGTTTTACTCTCACCCCCTCATGCCCAGCTGGCACTCAACATACTTTTGCTGCATGTTCTTTGTTTTGCTTTGTCTTTTTTTTTGATCAGCTGGAGCTCATGTGTATTTGGTATCACAGGAGAGTGATCTGCTTTCTCCTGATCATCCTCTCTTAAAGCTGAAGTCTTTACATCTTTGGACAGACGTATAGAGACACGGGCAGACACGGGCAGTTTTTGGAAGGAAGAAAATGAAGGCTATGTTGCTATTCTGATTATTCTAGAATCTAGGGGATGTGTGTCCTGGTGTGCCATTTCTGCAGCATGTCAGGACTCTAGTCCTAGTGCTTGACTCTGGTGCTTGGAGATTAATGGCATTGGTTATAGCTCTGTGCTTTTGTGTCTCTGCTAAATGTTTTTAAAAATCCAAATTCTTACATATTTTTAGTTCTGCAGAGGCAGAGCAGTGATGCTGACTGCCTTTGAGACCCCTCTTATTTGCTGTGTATCCACATCGCAGCATAATCTGAGGGGCTCATCCCGCTTACTACAAAACCCCGTCGTAGTTGATCACAAGTGCAACTGACCACGTAAATAAAACTCATGCCTTAGAAGTGTCCAGATCTGACTTGTTCGAGCCTGTGTCAGAGACCACAGAACCCCTGCGGAGGCCTCTCTGGTTACCGTGTGCTCTGGCTTGTTGGATTTTCACCGGGCTCAGCAGGCAGACCGTCTCTGTGTTGTGCTTTGTAGGAAAGAACTAGCAGAGGCACACAAAACTAACAAGCCGTGTGGGAAGTGTTACTTCTACCTTCTGATTAGCAAGACGTTTGTGGAAGCTGGAAAAAATTCCAAAAAGAAAGGGAGCAACCAAGAAGAGAAACAGGAGTTAATGTTTGCAAATGCAGAGGAAGAATTTTTCTATGAGGTAAGACTGTCCTGTTCTATTTTTTTGAACGTAAACCAGAGCTTTCTTGACCGTAGGCAAGATTTGCTGCTCTCTGTCTGAGTCCTTGGAGTACGGCCACACTTTTCTTCATGTAGCTGGCAGTTGGTGGCTCATGTGGTGCCTACGCCTAGTACCTCCCTGCAGGGGCTCACGCGGGGCCCACACCTAGTACATCCCGGTGGGCGCTCACTCGGGGCCCACACCTAGTACCTCCCTGTAGGGGCTCACGCAGTTCCCACACCTAGTACCTCCCTGCAGGGGCTCACCCGGGGCCCATGCCTAATACATCTCGGCAGGGGGCTCACACAGCGTCCATATCTACTATGTCCCCTGCAGGGACTTAATAAGCGGTGCTCACACCTAGTACCTCCTGGCAGGGGCTTGCTTGCCTGCGCCTACTACACTACCAGCAGGCTTGTCCCTAGCCCCCCAGCCCCTGGGGTGGAATGTGGGGAGGAAAAGGGCCATGAACTTTGGTGATCAAGCACTGTCCACATGCTTACTAGAAGATCTTTTGTTCTGGAACCACGCCATGAGGTAGACGTTAGTCTTGGTTTACAGATGGGCATGCAGAGTCAGGGGGAGGAGAGCCATCACCTGAGGTCATGTAGCTGGTTCATGTGGAAGCTGGCGTAGGCCCTGCTGCCCTGTGAAGGCTCACGTGCTTCTCTGTGTCCTTGCTCCTGGATGTCCTCCCACGTAACAGGATTTCTAGCACTTTCTTCCAGAAAGGTAGCTTGTGCCATGATGGACAGCTAGATGCCAGAGAATCTGCTTTCTTGCTCAAAGATAGTCAATCTGAGGAGTAACTTACTTTCCTGGATTAAAGGGCATCCGTAACTGCTTTTTTGAAAAAAGACTTCTGCAAAATACTAAATACTGCAGATTCAGCTCTACCTGTTTTTCAGGAAGTAAACAGTGAAAATTAAACGTGTATCCCCCGAGCACCTTAGATTTTTTTCAGGGAAGGCTGGATGGGTGTTTGAAGATGGCCTGGTTACACACACGCCTGTCTTCACACAGCTTGATGCCAGCACAGTGAGACCAGTGTGTGAGGACCATTCTGAATCTCATTGTCAAAATGCTAGGAGTTTTTATTTCACTTTCCTGTTGATTTATAAACACTTAAGACTGGGACACACTGCTCTCCATGCTTTTCCTGTAGGTTAGAAATCTGGTAAGCATTGTGTAACTTCTGCTGGAATATCCCGTTTGGGCTAATTTTATTGTTCGGCTTCTGTTTGCCGTCACTCGTAAGCACGTCAGACAATATTCCTGGCTGCCCTTTAAACAAGTTTCCCTTTGGGTTGTCTGAAACTTTAACTTACAATTTTACGTTCGGTTCAGAAGGCCATCCTGAAGTTCAGCTACTCGGTGCAGGAAGAGAGCGACACTCGTCTGGGAGGCAGGTGGTCCTTTGATGACGTCCCCATGAAGCCCTTGCGAACCGTGATGTTGATTCCAGGTGACCGGATGAACGAAATCATGGACAGACTGAAAGAGCACCTCTCCGTGTGACCCATTTCCCATGGACAGTAGTTGGTGACTTTGTGTTTGTAAAATTACCAGAAAACAGCTCTCAGATTTACTGAAAAACTCACGACTTTATTCAGAGTAAGGTTCTCTACAAAAGAGTAGGGTTCTGTTCCCTGTGTCTGTGACACATTTACAAAATAGTTTTTTAAAAAAAAATTTGGTCAAATTATGAATGATTAAAAGCTTTTCCAATAAGAAGGAAAACATGGGAGTCGTAATTTAAAGAACTCAATAAAAACTTCTATTTTTTTATTTTTAAATAATATACAAAGTATTTTTTTTCAAGACTCGTGGGGCATGATCTCATTCAAGTTGAGCGTCTGCACCTCCCTCCGGCAGACTGGCTGTTAGGCTAGTGTGGGGCACTTATTGCACATCTTGCTTTTTATGGAAGATTCTGAAGTCACTGGATGGTGCATCTCTGCTCAGTAGTCTCAGGGCACTTCTCACACATTTTCGGTTCCTTTTTCATTGTTGATAGAGGTGAAAGGTGATCCATTACTTGACGTAGGATATCCTTACTTTCGCTAGGAGGCAGGTTACTGAAATAGTACGGTGGTGCCAGCTGCATAAATCTGTTGAAAACAAAAAGATTAGATTTTTTTCTTTTTTGGTGAGTAATACCAAACATGGGGGGACTTCCCACCCCTGGAGAATCTACTTGTTGAACTGGTACTTAATTTGAACTCTTCAGTCTCTGTCTCCCTTTGCAGGATAAATACTTCCTGTGGTTTTTATTGAACCAGTCCAATTGCATTTCTGGAATAAGCTGGCTTCTCTAGTGTTAGGCCACACCTAACTATGATGCCCACCACTCATCACCAGAGGAAACTGGCACTTGCTTTAAGGCCCATCACATGTGAAAGATCAGGTCAGGTGTTAGGGAGAACTCCGGGTGGGTAAGAGTTCTTTCTCTCATTAACTGATACCACTCGCGTCCAGCTATTAGGTACTTTAGGTTCCTGCCTTGAAGCTCACTGTCCAGGGAGGAGCGTATGTTCAGGTGGACCTAGCATCTGCAGGAGCACCAGAGACAGCTCTTCATTCTCACGGGTACCCCATGTACTTCATTCCCTTGGCAGCCAGAGTCGTCTTTGAAAGTACACAGAAAGGATGTTATTCCTACTTAAAACTCTCATAGTTTCGTAGGGCAAATTCTAGACTCGCACGTGGCCCACGAGCCCTACACCTCTCATAGTTGCCCATCACCCACCTCCCCTGCATCCCTCCCTCTCCCACTAGCCCTAGTCTTGGCACGTCTGTTCTGAGAGTGGCTAAGCTCATTCCTTCTCTGGGTTTGCACCTGTAAACACTCTTTGTGGCTTTTTTGTTCCTTTTAAGAGGCATCATGCTGTTGTATTTCTACACTGTATTGTTTTTTCAATAATCTCTACACCCAACATGGGGTGGGCCTCAAACTCATGACCCTGGGATCAAGACTTGCACGTTCCACCTCCTGAGCCAGCCAGGCGCCCCTTTGCATGGTATGTAATTTGTTGTGATCCCAGTGATCCCAGAGAGAGGAACGTTTAGATGCTCCTCCCGAGAGACCTGCCCTAAGTAGGTATGCAGTACGTTTAGATTGGTGCCAGCATAACCTAACTGAAAATGTAGTAAAAACCAAATGTGTCACTGACTCAAGTTATGAGTTAAAAAGAACCTTTTTCTCTCTAGTAGACTTACAGTTCAGGAGAGATTTCAGAGGTAATCCTGATGTAGTTGTTCTCAGATATGCTGAACTTGTGGAAGAGAACCCACTCTGGCATCTTCTTGGTGATGGAGTAACTGGACAGGGGGTGCAGCTGGGCTACCTGTTTGTGTGTCAGCATTAAGTAGTTACCTGATCCATCCACATCCCTGGCAATCTACAAGGCAGTGTTTTTAAGGAAAAAGGTTCTGTGTTAATGAGATCAACAGACGAGATGTTTTGTTTAAAAAAATTCCTAAGTACTTATTTCACTCAAAATAGTAAAAATTACCCATCTGCCACCCATGTTTCTTATTTTCAGATCTAGAAAACAAGCCAAACACAGGTTTTGCCCAAAACTTTGAGGTCGTGATGATGAGGTTACTGACTTTAGCAGTTTCAGGTCAGTGGGCGAAAAGAGCGTAGCTACAAAGGCTAACTGAAGCCTTTGGGTCGTGAAGGCTAGTGTGCTGCCAGCCACGTTCTGGGCAGGATACTTCTGTCAGGGGCTTTATGCCAGATGTTCTAGCTCAATACAGTAACACTGATGTAGGAACCTTACTTTTTCCATACAAGATTAGGAAATTCATTTTAAAATGTCATTTTTTCTCCTCTTTTAAGATCGTTTTAGAATTTGAGAAATACCAGTTTCACTCCCCATGACGTGAAGAAAATGCATCCGTAATGTGCTTTAATTTAGGGGAGCTACATCGGGCAGCCTTCATTTGGGGGATGAAACACAGGAGACATTACCTTTACCAGTATCACTGGTTAAACATGAGCTACTTCACAAACCAGTGAGATGAGGGACTGCATCTGATGCTCCCCCAAAGAGCGTGTTTTTCCTAATGTCCCCTCTGTAATGAAATGAAAAAAGACCTTTTGTCTTTTTGGACAAAGTGACCATATTGTGGCTTAGCCCTTCAATTCCCTTGAAGTATATTTAAATAATCTTTAGTGACATAGAAGGTTTTAGTTTTATATAATGTCAACACCACTGAAAGCACCATCCCAGGTGAGACTTCCTGACAGGCTGTCCTGAGCGTGAGGTTCTGTAGAGACCACGCCCTCCCTGTTCTTGCCTGCATGAAGTAACCGGACAGGAGAGCCTTCTTTATGTTCAGAGCGTTTTCCTTTGAGCCAAAAGCAGGTTCTGCGCAGGGAAGCTCAATTCGCTTGACAATTTCTAAGAGTTCAGCTCGGATAACGTCTGCCATCCTGAGAGCACAACAATTGAGGAAGTAATCGTGACACCACTTTTCAACACACTCTGGGAGGGAAAGAAGAAAAGAAATGACCCATTATAAGCTACCAGAGCCCAGGCCAGGAAGAAGGTGGGATCTTTGTCCTGTCCTGAAGAGGAGGTCACCTGGGTGACGGAGGCTGCAGGGACGCGTGCTGGCCGGCAGGACTGCACTGGCTGTGGGGTTCTGGAACCCCCGAGCTGGGGGGCAGCATGTGGCAGGTGCAGACCAGGCCAGTGTACCGCCCATCACCTGCACCCGAGGGCGAGCAGAGGACGTGGTCTCATCACCGTTTGTGTTGTGTACACGATGAGGACGTACGTGGCCACAACGTTTAATCAAACTAGGAGGGAAAAGTGTACAGTAGAAGGTCCCCTGAGCCATGAAAATATCTCAACATACTTCTAAGGAAAGGATCACTACTAGGCTGACTGGGGAATTCTGTTAAGCTCATCTACTTTAGCTGCAAATTTTATATTAAAATTCAGTCCCCTGGTTCAGTTTGAAGTGAATGCTTTCTTGCTACCGGTGTAGTTCCTTAGGACGGGCCTGGAGTGCTGCCTGGCCCTGGGAACACCCCTGGCCTTGGCACAGTGCGGGGAGGCCCCTGGTCGACCCTGTCCTGTGCACCTGGGCCAACAGGAGCATGTGCTTGGGCAGACAATTGTACCCAGCCTCCCTGCTCTCCAAAGATGCCACCAAACTCCCCATATCCTTTCTGGCTCCACTGACAACTTTACCTTCTCAGCTCAGAAAAATTAACTCCCCATTGAATAATTCTACTGCCAAACTGCTGTCCTATTTCTCAGCTCAGTTTTCATCCTGTCTACCAGAGCAGAGGTGGTAAAAGCTAAAGGGAAAACCAAGGTTCCCTTGCGGGAAGGGGGTTCCTCACCGCCTGCCTCTGGAGGCCCCGGCCTGCGTGTGTCGCTCTGTCCTGTCGGCCCTTCGGGGATCCCCTTCCTGTCTAAAGCCGAGCAAGGCAGTTTCATGGATACGTGTTTCCAATTCCCTCTTGTGCAAAGTCATACGCCCACTGTGGGTTAGCCCCGGGACTTGTGCCTCCGCTTTTCCACACGCCCTGTCCTCTCCCCTACCCCCGGCCAAGCCGGCTCTCTCCTGCCTCCTCCGGCACACCTGCCGATTAGTATCTGGAGCCGGGGTTGGTTGGTTTGGTCCTGGATGTCCACGTTCTGTCTGTCCAGTGAATGTGGGTGTTGGGGAAAGCACAAAGCTCAGCTCTGACCCAGGACACCTAGAGACGGCAGTTCCTTTCTCTCCTCCCCCGGCCCTGGAGGGTGGGGGCTGTGCTGTGCAAGAATTTTGGGCCCAGGCTAGCTCCGTGGGTTGGCCGGGCACTGGACTTCCACATGCCCGGCGACAAGTGCCACTCCACTCCAGTGACCAACAGGCTGGAGAAGGGAGAACAGCTTGGCTTCCTCTGGGGAAGGAAAGCTGAAAGCTGGACACGAGCTAATTTCTCAGACTCACAAGCATTCACTTACGGTCACTGGTGGAATTCAGAGCTATGTCCTGGTAGGCCTTGTAAATGTTGATGAGGGTAAAGTGATCTCCTTCAGGATGTAAAAATGTCTTCCAGCAAGTCAAGGCGGCCTCCTCAGCCCCATGTGGCAGATTAGAGAAGCAGTTGGGAGCTTTAAGATGTAAAAGATCACAAGGTCAGCAATACTGGAGGCACTTCCCCTCCCCTGCCCACCAGCAGAACATGCAGAGGGCCGGCTGGTGACCCTGTATGTAGAACCAACCATTCCTGGCTGCTGCTCTGGATCAACGTTATTCTTGCTTACTCAGAAATCAGAGATTCAGGGTGAGTTGTCCTGTTTTTCTCCTTGTTTGCCTGTGTAGGTGTAGCGAGTACCCTGCTCGTACCACCGTCAGAGCAGGGCCCCTGGGGACCTGAGACACTCAGAGGCCCAGCCGCTGGCGCAGGATTAGGACTTACAGTCCTAATGCTGCACTGCCTTTGGCCTGTTCTGCCAATAAAGGAATACATTAAGCCAAGAAGCAAGAATGAAGGTGGTAGGAAACAGAAACAGAGCTCTCTGGGGGAAGAACATTCCTAGTGACCCAATTTTTCTTTCAATGTTTGATTAAGAAATTCACTGGATTTTGAGTGACTTTTTCAATCACTTGATTCCATCTTTCAATTATTAAGGTAATTCGTGTAACTTCCTACCTTTGAAACCTATTAATATGCTTATCACTTCAAAAGGTTAAATGAATTGGTCAGTGTCTCTCTGTTAGGTTCTTCA